TTGGAACCATCAGGTAGGGTGTGCCAGTGGCCAGTGTAGCTAAACTGCACCATTCATGCATTGGGAGAATGCAAGAGGAAGCCATTTGAGTGGTTAGGGCTTAGAAAGCATTCCCAATACACTGAATGAAACTCTGGTCTTATAACCACTTAAACCTTTGACTGTATATTTCGTTCTTCAATTTGGATAGAATTTGCATCTGCAAGCAGTTAATCCTTTATCTCACTGAGAACTATGACACCTGACAGAAGCTTTCCAGAACTTTTTGAACTGTAACTCCCAGAATTCCTCACAGTTCATAGTGCAGGCTAGGACTGTTGGGATTTGTAGGCCAACAAGAAATATTCTGGAGGGCCCCAAGTGTTGGTATATGAAACAACTTTGCATGGAGTGAACTGGAATACAGCAACATTGTCTGAAATCCCGTTGCGCAGATACGAAAAAGAATTTTTTTTAGAGATGAATAGGGGCAACTTCAGAAATCTCCGTAGGCATTATTTGTTGCATGCCAAGCTGTATAATTCAGTGTACAACAGATAATGGCTATAGAGATTTTGTAACTTGTAGCAATTTTCCTCTAAAAATTATATAACTGTGCAACAGATTTTAGCCATCATGACACAAGTCTGCTTATTCAGTAAAAATGAGCCTAAGCATTACTCTCAAGTAACTATACACCTGAGAATGCAACCTCAGATCAGCTAGAGATTGTTTAGCAATGCATGAAGTGAAATGTACACATACATTTTAGCTGGATTCAATATTTGTACTGTAAACATTTTTGCTGGATTTAATATTTGTACTGTAAACATTCAGACTGCACATAATAACCAAACTATTTTGCTTGCAGTAACTTGGCTTTGAAAGGAAGATCGCTATACTTTCTGTTAATTGTCAGTTGACAAACATTTTATTACACTGAGGGAACTTTATTGATCAAAAACAATATCCTGAGTGCATTCTGACTGACATTTCTGATTCTTCGGGGTGTGTTATTCTCCTTAAGATTGCTTATGTCCACGATACAGTAAATAGGTCAAAAAGTAGAACAGAATGGTGGTTTTGTGTTATTCTCTTTATACATTAATAGACATTGAGATCTACTACACAAACATTTAATTGCATGAATGCCAGCTGCAACTAGAACAGATGGAGCACAAAATTGGAATACCTTGAAGAATGTTTCAGCATGCACATGGATAAAGAAACAGTGGGAAATGGCAACCTTAAAGAAACTAATCTAGAACAGAAAAAATGGCAATAGGACCTTTGCACACTGTTGCCTTTGATTAGATGTGGTACCCTTTTATAGACTACATGACTTCCTTAGAACAGATACATGGATGAAAATACAATATCAAAAATTCTGGATATATATTTTATAACACACCATTACAAAAGACTTGTTGGAGAAGAAAACATGTAACAGAATCCAGTTTGTTAATATTTGTTGATAATTGCTTCTATGTGGCTTTTCTTACTTCCTTTGATTCTTTTTCTGCATTTTTCCTTTCCTTTCCTTTCCTTTTTCTCTTTGTATCTAATGTTCTAAATGTATCTAAAGTTGGATGGGGGGTTGGAAATCAAGGACAAACGTAATCCCAAACAGATCTCCCAAAACTGATATCTTTTGATGATTAAAAGAGCTGTTCTTTTTCCTTGAAACAGAGATGGGGTATGAGTATGGTTACATTTATATCTCATCTTCCCTGCAATATGCTTGTATGTGGCTCTTCTCTCTACAGTACTTTTTCCTCACAACAACCTTGAACAGTAGGTTAGGCTTAGAGGCTGAGGAGCAGAAGAGCCAGCCAGTGAGCCTCATAGCCGAGTCTCCCAAGTCCTTGCCCACATTCGAACTACTACACTATGATTGCTCTTGGCCTGCAAACTCTACAGTCTCTATCTACTTAATTTTTGCATGCCTATTTTTCACCATTTCCAGTTGTTTAAATAAATAGTGAGTCCTTCTTTCTCAGCCAGCCAACTCAGTTTTATTAAATGAGTTCTGATTTTCTTTCTTTTCTTTTTAAAGATCCGCAACGGTCACTGGGATGGCTTTAGAGTCTGTATTCACTGTAAACAGGCAGGGCAAGAAAAGTGCAGGGAAGGGGAGAGTTTATCCCCATTTCTAGGAACTGAGGATTAGCACTGAACTTAGTGCCAAACCAGAAGCCAGACTGATTTCTCCGCTGGAAATACAGGGACATACATAGGCATCCTTCAGTCTCGAGAGACTATGGTATCATGCTTTGCATGGAAGATTTGGAACAGCGTCTAGTGTGGCTGAGAAGGCCAATTTGAAAGTGACAATTCCTTCCACACTGAGGACAAATACAATAAGTCCCCTGTCTAGCTCCCTGATTTTGCTGCTTTTGTGACTGCCTCTTTGCCTTGGCCTGCTGGGCAAGGGTCTCTTCAAATTGGGAAAGGCCGTGATGCACTGCCTGCCTCCAGGCTGAACACTCAGATGTCAGGGTTTCCCATCTGCTGAGATCCATTTCCAAGGCCTTCAGATCCTGCTTGCAGATATCCTTGTATTGCAGCTGTGGTCTCCCTCTGGGGCGATTTCCCTGCACTAATTCTCCATACAGGAGATCATTTGGAATCTGACCATCAGCCAGAATCACAGTGCGGATTTCAAGCTAATAGATCCATACGGGGACAGCAGACCTGGTATTAAGTGCGGCCAGCACACACCAAATTCTACAAAGAAAACATCCCAGCAGATCATGTGAGAATGACAATAGAATTAAGAGCAGTCCCTTTGCTTTTTCTAGACATCACTATTAAGGTGGATGCAGAGCATCCTTACAGTAATAATAGTTATGATTAAGTGCCATCAAATGCATTTGGACTTATGGCAACCCTTTCCATATAGAGTAATCAGGTGGTTTGCCCGTCTCTTCTGGAGATGCCCTGAATGGGCCCATTAAAACCAGTTGCGCTTAGAATATTTAATTTAAAGCAGGATTGGGCAAAATGTAGCAGTGCAGAAAACAGACTACAATTCCCAACAGCCCTAGCCATACAGCCAATGATGAGGAATGCTGGGAGCCTTTGTCCAACAGCAATATCTCCTGGGCCACACATTATCCACACTGTTTTAAAACATGTATTTTTTAACTGCTAACCAAACCGTATCCCATAAGGGTCTTGCAAACACGGAGCACGTGATACCTTGCTTGCAGACTCTAGCCATACAGCCAATGATGAGGAATGCTAGGAGCCTTTGTCCAGCAGCAGCATCTCCTGGGCCACACGTTGTCCACAGTTTTAAAACATGTATTTCTTAACTGCTAACCAAACCGTATCCCATACGGGTCTTGCAAACACGGAGCACGCGATACCTTGCTTGCAGACCTGCACTATAAATTTAAGATGCGCTATATAAGGAAGAAGGGATGGAGAGGAAGGAGGGAAAAAAGAAAGTTTGAGTTATACATCTTATAATGACCAGCGGGGACAGAAACATTTCAGGTAACCCTATGTAACAGCTGCTGCTAGGTGCAGCTAAAGTAGGGTAAAAAAAAAAACTGGAATAGCCATCTTTCTTTCTCTCCTCTGCAGTCTTTTGAAATGGTTTACAGGCACATTTTCCCCCTCTTCTTGCTGCAAGCAGCCATTGCTGCTAATTGCAGTGACAGTGCAAAATCCAAATGTCCTTTGGGCTTCCCTTCTAAGTTGACCTCCAACCACTGGTTGTTATGCATCCTTCGTACTTTTGAGGAACTAACGAAAAATTTTCCCTTCTCTCAGAGAAATACAGTGAAACTATCCTTCAAAGAACCCTTTGAATGGACCACGACTTAGTATACTGAGGCTCAAATCCGTGCTTGGCTATGGAAAGTCACATGGGGGGGAGGGCAATGGTAAAACCATTCCTTAAATATCTCACATAACTTGAGAATTCTATTTGGGTCACAATAAGTTGACTGATACTTGGTAGCACCTGACACTCAGATTCTACTTATTGCAGGATCCAATCAATGCTAGTACTAAACTGGCAAGTCTCCCTAACCTGGCCAGAGGGCTTATGCACTACCGTCTTGCTGCAGCAGTTATTTCGCCTCCTTGTCTGACTGGCTTGCAACCAGCTCCAGGATCCATGTAGTCCCATAAGCTGATTTTGAAAAGAAAACAGAATACTCAATTTGGAACCATTTCTGTTCTGCCTCTGATCATTTTCTCCTTATTAGTGTCCTTGCTTTGTTCTGTTTTCTTCAGGTTTGGGCAAGATCCTACCTAAAGCAAGATATGTGTGTACTGTGCGTTGCTCTGAGGAGGACAAAGTATCAACGCCTGCAGCTCTAACAACTCGACAACGGTGCTGGGCAATCACTATACAGTACAGTAGTAGTGATTCCCAACCTCGGGCCCCCAGATTTTCTTGGAGTGCAACTCCCAGAAGCCCTTGCCGGCACAGCTATTGGTGAAGGCTTCTGGGAGTTGCAGTCCAAGAATGTCTGGGGAACCCCCAAGGTTGGGAATACAGTATAATGTTATATTGCACTATAATATTAACAGATGAGGGTGTTGTTCTGCACTCATCCCTCCCGTCGGCTGTCAATATGAAAGACGTCTGAAAACAACCCCGTTGATTTTCCTTTAATCCTTCCTGCTCTTTGCAAAAAACCTCTGCAGGACTCTCGAGTGGCCATCCGCGCGGCTTCCAACACATGCCTGGCACCAGAAGAAAGGATTCGGCCTCTCCACAGTCGCGGCCACCAGCCATTGTGCGTAGCAAGCAGCCTCTGAGCCCTTCGGCGGGGCGCCTTATCGCTTGCCGCAGGTGGGCCCTCGTTCCCTCCCCCGCAAGCCCCGCGGCCACCTGCTCGCCAGCGAAGCCGCCTGCCCGGGTTGGAGCCGGGCGCGGCCTTCTCTGCAGACTCCTCTCTAGGCCAAAAGCGGCGGCGGCGGCGGGGGAGGAGGAGGAGGAGGAGGAGAGAAGCGGGCGGGCGGCGTGTCCGGCCCAGGGGCGGGGTGGCCGGTCTTGACGCGGGAGGCGCGCCTAGCTTGCGTCTCCTCCTCCTCCTCCCCTCCGAGCGCGCTCGGGTTGGGGTGTCTGGTACGAGAAGCGGGCAGAAGAGCAGCAGCAGCAGCAGCCGCCGCGGCCCCTTTCGCCTCTCCTTGCGGACCTGCGCTCGATCGAGGAAGGCTCTGCTTCGGCTCCCGGCGAGAAGGATCTCGCCATGACCGCGTCCCTGAAGGAGAGGTTCGACAAGTTCCTGCACGAGAAGAACTGCTTGACGAATGTCTTGGAGAAGATCGAGAACAAGACGGGCGTGAGCCGGTCCTACCTCGCCGTCGGTGAGTGCCTGCAGGCAGCGGGCTGTCACCTTTTCTCTGCCTTCGCCCTCCTTCGGGATTACCCACCCCCCCCACCCCCGTC